TCCAGGAATGAGAGAAACCAAGAGCACAACACAGAATTTTGTCAATATGCCTGTTTAAATGTCTGAAATATAACTTCATATATAAGCACAAAATTCATGCTACAGAAAGTCTATCTATTTATGTATGTTTTGTTCTAACTTCAGGATCATGAATCTGTTGCACTTAATATCACAGGAGACAAGCATCTTGAAACAGTTGCATGACTTCTCTTCTATCACTGGACAGAATTGGTATGATGTCACTGGGACTTTCAGGTAATAGGGCAGCACCGTCAAGGCAGTGCATCATTGAAAAGGAACAGTTCTCCTACTATTCATGGTGCTGGATGGGCTTAATCTGGCATTTCATCTTCTGCTATTGTCTGGGTGATGTCTCTAAAGCTCCGCTTCATATTCCAGTGGGATACTGATGTCTCTAATTGTTGAAAATGTACAGGAGTGCTTGCCTGCTTAACCAGTATGGATTCATAGGGACATCCTCCTCCAACAATGAAATTCATTCACAAAATTCTGGGCCACGGGATTGTGGAGAGATAGCTGTATGTTTGCAAGTAAAGACTTAAAAGTGGTGGAGTGGTCCATTTTGCCATAAACCTTTCTGAGTGTCTTCAGAAAGCTCTGTCCTCACTCTGGATCTAACTTCACCAAGCTCAGCATCCTCTTATGTAGGTAATGGCTACTAAAGATTTTCAAGGACTTGGAAGTGTTTGATGTAAGCTTAGTGAATGGTAACAGTGTAGTCGAAAAAATGGTGATCATCTCCAAGGATTAATCCCTGAAGGACAAAAAACAATAGCCTTTGACTATATGTATATATAGAATGCTATATACAGTAATGGACATTGAGATGGTCCTGGAACTTGTCAAGGAAAAAGTACGTTCATATCTCAGTAGCTTCCTCCCCAAATATGACATGGGTAGCAGCCCAATGAGAAGAGTGTGTTATCCACACCATGTTACTCTTACATGCTTGCCTCTATGCCTCTATGAACAATCCTAAGATAATCAAAACTGATAATTGCCTTGCATACACATTTGATAAGTTCAAGACTTTTACAACACTTCAGTATTACTCATAAAACCAGCATACCATATAAATCCGCAGTACAAGCCAAACACTAACACTTGTACAACACTAACGCTACACCATTAAGTCTTAAATTATTACAGGATAATGAACTTTTTCTATTAAAGTTTTGCTATTCTGACTAATCAAAGGACCCATAGTTATTGATAACTGCTATTTGGTGCCTGGCCTCAGCTTTCAAGATTGGGAAAAGGGGTCACTTTAAGCTATGATGTAAAGGTCCTCTCAGAAGCAGAAAATAACTTTGGTAAATTTGGTAAATTTTAAATAAGCATAATCTACATAGTTGCATATTTTTTATTAATAACAAGGGAATAACACTGGTTAAAAGGATTAGATGAATTAGAATGTGTGGACTTGTTGAAGATAAAGAGTCACTGGGAGTGGATTTGAGGTTTCATAAACTGTGCCAGGCCCAGTGTCTTTCTCTACCTGCAAATCAGGATAAAACTCTCATCTCCTGTACTAGATTTATTGGCCACCATGGCACCCACTATGATGAAGAGGAACACCCTTTAAAAATGCAAGAAAGTCCCCAATTAAATGTTCTCTCTTATAAAAGTGACCTGGATCATTGTGTCTCTTCATAGCAATAGAAAAATACGGTTGCATTCACGCTTTTCAGAGTAATAACACTACTTAATACTGTGTTGCAGTGTTAGTTACTAGCTGCATTGTAGAGACAAACTATACAATAACAACTCAAGGAAGAATAGCTTATGCTCACAGTTTTAAGTACAGCCCATCGTAACAGGGAAGTCATGAACTCAAGACCTAGATGGAGCAAGTCACATAGCATCCACATTTAGAAGCAGCTTATACTTAGTTTGCTATCTAATTTATAGTCACATCAGGACCCCAGACTATAGCAATAGTGTTGCCAACACTTGGGGCAGGTCTTAAACTCAGTTTCAGCAATCTTGTACTTCTCTCACAGGATATTCTAATTTCTAAAGCCAGTCTAATCACACCATCTAAAGCAAGTCCAAGACTCATTTCCCAGGTAATTCTAGGCCCTATTAATTTTACCATTTATATAAAAATAGGCTATAAAATTCAGAAGCTGTTTTACTTTCTTAGGGAACAAAGTGAAGTGCATAGTGTGAAGATGGTCTGAGAGTGAGGAAGTGTATCTGCTACACGTCATAAATGACCATATCTGAACTTAGAATTTACCTCATGAAGTGAAAGGGAGATTTTAGATTTGTAAGGATTCTGAGATTCAGGAGCATTGCCTTGACTTTCTCTTCATTACTCTAAAATTTCAAATACTATCTTAGCCAGGAAATCCCACCGAAGTTCTGCCCAGAATCAACAGAAAGTTCTATGCTTTCCTGAGCTTCCTTGGGATCTGATATCCCACAGTTTTTTTTAGCAAAATCAAAAATAATTTTACATTAAGAGCTGTCATAGAATAATGTATGCCATAAATTTAGTGTATCAATCTGGGAAATAAATGTTAGGTTGAAAGACAACTGCAAACTTGCAATGAGGCAGTTACTGACCTTCTCCTGGGGTAAATATTAACTCGTCTTTGCTGAACACACCTTGCTGGTATTCAGCACCCCACAAAGAGAGTATTGTTTTTGGAATTCCAGTGATGACTACTCACTGTGTTTCTCACACAATAGTCAATGGCAATATTCTCAGCACAAACTGCCCGTTTGAGTACACAGCTTCTTCTTAGAGTTGTCACTGGATATGGTAACTCTACCTTTAATAAACTCCATGTAGTTTTTGCTATTGAATTGGGTTTCTATGAATGGAAAATCTATGTTGGTTGAACGCATTACTATACCCTAGTATGATATCTATACTCAGAGGTCCAGAAGAGAAACTTTCTTTTGCCTACATGAGTGGGTTTTCTTAAATATTACACAATTGTCTGCGAGCTATGGGATGGGATGAGTCTCTCTCTCTCTCACTCTCTCTCTCTCTCTCTCTCTCTCTCTCTCTCTCTCTCACACACACACACACACACACACACACACACACGCTACTGTCAACTCTAAGATCAAGGACACCAAGGATGGGACTTCCCAACTCTTTCTCCCTCTATTGTCATTATGATTCAGTATCACATAAAGATGTCATATAAATTTGTCACCCTTGGTGGTTTTATGCCTGGAGAACACTTAAAAGCCCCTTCCTTATGGTTTCCTTCATGGTTTCTCCTCTTCTCCTGTGGCCACCCAGGAATGCTTTGCTCAGATTAAACCTGGGATTATTGATTTGGTTTGATTGGCTTTTTGCATCAATAGTGACATATTTCCAATAACTAAGGATTCGAAACTTATCAGTGCAGTAGGCAATTGACTAGAAATTTTTGAGAATTCTGCAACCATGTTCTGTGCTTACATGCCAGAAATATAAACTTGTTTAACCTCATTTTTTTGAAGAACAATAAAGATACAGTTTTATGTTGGTAGGATGGGAGGAATTATAGTGTTTTTTCCTCAGGAAAAAATCATTTGTAAACAATACATTCTGTTCAAAAATGTTCTCTTTTCCAGATGTTCCCAGATCCTCCTAACCTCCTTACCAACCTAATCCATGGCCTTTGTTTCTCTCAATCTTTATAAAACACAAAAGAAAAATTAAAAGAAATAATGAACAATATATTTATGACTCAGTGTCTTTTTCTCTGTGAGTTTCTCTCTTTCACACACACACAGGCACACAGAAACACACACACACACACACACAGAGAGAGAGAGAGAGAGAGAGAGAGAGAAGGGGAAGGAGAAGAAGACGAAGAAGAAGAAGAAGAAGAAGAAGAAGAAGAAGAAGAAGAAGAAGAAGAAAAAGAAGAAGAAGAAGGAAACAAATGTACAATAACACAAAAACCTTACTGAACAAAGCTATATGAGAATGAGACAAACGCTTGACAAATATGGCATTGTGCTAGTTTTGTTTATCCAGATCCTGGAAACAGAGCCCACCTTCAAGAGTCGTCATATAGTCAGCAAGATCCACTAAAAATACTAATTTTGCCACTGGGTACATATTACAGATAGTTTCTTGAATAGAAGTAGCAGCCCATGTCCCTTTCCCTCTCTCATCTCTGGGACCCAATCTAGATTAAACCTATGCAAGCCATGTGTTTGCTTCCATAGTCACCCTGAGTTCATATGCGCAACAGTCCTATTGTGTCCAGAGGAGACTGTTGCTCTGGACCTTGCAATCTATCTTTCCACCTCCTCCTCTACCTTGTCCATCAGTCCTGAGATGAAGGTTTGGTGAATATCATCCTCTTAGGGCTGAGTTCACCAATCTCTCTATACACAGTGTTCATTTGTGGTTCTCTGTTACTTCCAATCAATTCCCCAGAAGAAGCACCTTTGGCCTCTGAAAGCTTTGTCCTCTGCATGCAACACTGTGAATGTTATCAGTAGGGGTTTCTACTTGGGCTCAACTTCTCTGTGATCACTGAAATCCATAAGTAATGTCTTCAATGATAGGGTGCTTCCATCAGTTTGTGGGGGTAGGAGTCTTGGGAATAGCCAGAAATGTTTGCAAGATTTCCTGGGACCTCTTTGGCCAATGACTCCATTTGAGAATGCTTATCCACTAAAACCTATCTTCTCCATTGTTTACTGAAGGTGGACATCACAATAAGCTGAAAACTGCTGTTGTGGGGATTGAGGTTTAAGGATAAAAGGAATAACAGCTCTGAACTACCTGGTTTAGGGACCAGGCATCCTTTATCTTAATAAAACCAAACATAGACAGACCCTCATTTCTGAACATCTTAACAGGAACCTAGGGCATATGAGAGGAAACCCAGGCTCTGAAGCTCAAAATGAAGAGGAAACCCCAAAGGCTAGCAGGGAAGTTCTGTCCCACCCACCAGGCTTCAGCCCTGCTTGAGGAAGGAACAGAGATGAGACCAATTTGAACTACTGTGCAGCTGTCAGCCTAGGCTGTGTCTCTGTGCTCCAAATGCTCTCCTAGCACAGTAGTATGTGGCAGTATCTGCAGTGTCGACACTGGTGATCTTGAGGAATACCTGCTTGTTGGAGGTGTCCTTGGAGATTGTGAGCTGGCTCTTCAAGGATGGGTTGTAGTACTTCTCATCATTCCACCAAATGTCTGCCAGCCATTCCAAACCCTTCCCTGAGGACTGACGGATCCAGCCCACACCTATGCCATAAGTACTCAGTGAAAACCCAGACAATGTGCAGGTCAGACTGAGAGTCTGGGAGGGCTGCAACAGCCCAGGACCAGAATTCTTCAGGGTAACCTGGGAAAGGACATCTGTGGAGAAAAGGGATAAAGTTATGTTGGAACAGGGCAAAGATAAGGAAGTTCATTCCTTAGGGAGTCTTGGCACTCACATGCAGGAACAATCAGCAGCAGGAATGAGGAAATAAGCCTGTCCATGACTGCACACCAGCGAGAGTACCCAGCCCCAACTTTGGCTTTTCACCCCAGGGTCAGGTGGAGCCCAGAAAGATTTGCATGCCCTCCCCACCTGCTGGTGAACTTAAGTTTAAGCTTCAGGAGGAGCCAGCCTATGGTGCAAGGCAAAGAAGCCCTCAAGGAAATCCATTTCTGCTTCCCATAGAGAATAAGTTACATGGTAAAATCAGGCAATGTATTCAGTACATTGTATAAATTCATGAATGGGGTTATCTTGTGGTTTATTTATGAGGACATTACTTCTCTACTTTCAGTATCCTAGATATGCAAAGGGATGTCTGTAATTAATTGACTTTCTTCTCCTTTCCCAAGTCACCAAAAAGTTTGACCAAAATCTTTCATTTTAGGGAAAACATTCACAGAAAAATAAATAATGAAAACCTATGACAAAATTCAGATTATGCAATTATGCCCATCTTATTCTCTCTTTCTTCTGAGCTTTCTTCATGAGTGATTCATGGGGCAGTGGACAATGCCTTGGTACCAGGTCTGCTACAATTGCTTAGCAGAATTGCATGGGCTCAGCAATGTGGATGGAACATCAAGGCCTGAAATCAAGGTCACAATCATACATTCCAGCTGAGAAAACCTCTCCTGCCAGAGAAAAGAGGTTACAGATATAATTACAGATGCTGCTACTGATTCTGGTGCAGTTGATGATGATCGGCTGTTTGATACCTCATGTTTAAAATTTATATTATACTTTATGTAAATGCCATTGATTTTGTCGATCCAATAGGTTCATATGTAAGGAATAAAAGTATATGTACAATATTGCTTAATAAAGAATTTTTACTGTACTAAGTTTAGAGTGTAGTCACAAAAGATACATCACATGTTGTACATGGTCTCTGCAGTTATTTGAGGTTAGGATAGGAGATCTTAGAGCCTCAGGGGACTCCCCCACTCTCCAGATGTTTCTCTTACCTACTACATGTTCATTCCTGGTGAAACTTGGACCACCAGCATCCCCTGCAGGTCATGAGCATCCTTAATTGATGTTGTTGCTGAGCAGACAGAGAACCTGCTGCACAGTAACACAAGACTGTGCCTTTAGTGGTAGCAGAGCTCAGCTTCAGAGTGGATCTGCTTCTTGAATGTGTTCACTGGCACCCTGAGTAGACTTCTCAGTGAAAGCTCCCCACTTTCTAGTTAGAACTGGATCCTGATAAGAGAGTTTGGCTTAAAAAGAGGTCTATGAAATCTGTTTGAAAAGAGTTTTAGTTGCTTATGTATTTGTTTGTTTTTATTAATTAATTTTGGGTTCTGAGATTTACTTACATGTATATGACTCACACCTCTCTCACATTTCTCATGTCCCTCTCACACAACCTCCTTTCTTCCCCAAGACCTTGCACATGTTCATTTCATTTTGATTTGTTTTAGGACCCATTAACTTTAACAAGGGTTGTCTATATAAACATGGGATTAAGACAAGTGGATCCTAGTAGGTACAACAGTAAGTGTACATCTGAATATAATACCCTGTTCACCCAGAATCTATCAGAATTCATTAGGTAATGAGAGAGGCAGTAGGATCTCACGATCCCTTCCATTATCCAAGAGTCATTACTCATAGGGCTGTTCCTATACAGGTCCAATATAAGCAATTGCAGCCACTGTTGAATTAGTGATGGCAATAACTTTGTTATGACCAGGACACAGCATTTTGAAGCACTTCTCCATATCTTCCAGCTTACTTACACTTCACAATAGTCTAGGAGTTTTAGACTGATGGCAGACATTGGAAGACTGAGGACACAACCATTCTTTTTTTTTAGCATCCTGAGCAATCAAGAGTCACTGGACTCTGACCAATCAATTTACAGACAATCTAGCCTGGCTTGGGTCTGAGCATACTGTTTCTCTGTGGCTGCAAACATGTATATTTAGAGAGAAAATTAATGACATCTTGGTCTCATTAAAAAACAATAATGGATCCCTTTAAGGATCTTAAAGAAATCACAGTTTGGAGGTCTCTGACCTCCTTAGTCATGGGTTTTGACAGACATTATAGAACCAGACATGGATTTCCTCCTTTGGAATAGGCCTCATATCCAATCAGAGTTAGTTTGGTTGCCTGTGTAAAAGCCTTTTCACAGTTACATCAGTGGGTTCATGCTGCCTTGTTGGTTAGTACTGTTGCTGATAGGGCTCACAGCTGGATAAGACCACTGATGCCTCTTCTCCACCACAGCCTACACAGCATTATTCCTATTAGCTTTATGAAAGCTGTACAAGTAGGGGGAGTCTTTCAACTCTCTTCCATCTTGACTTTTATCTGTCTTACATCAAAGAAATGTAATATCTTTAGCAATAGTGTCTAGTTATCTAGTTCTGCTGAGCAACAAAGAAAATGACAATAGCTGCTGTTTGGGGAAATTCAGAGGTTTCCTGGAAAGAACTTTTAAAGAAATATCTTACTCTTTATACTGGCATATTTACTAGGAGCAGTATTATTCACTCATTCTGTTTATATAATTTCTAATAAATTTTTTAACATTTTATGCCTACATAGTGTTTTGTATACTTTATTTTTATTTATCAATTTGTGTAAGTGTAGATGTGTGTGTTTCCTTATGTGTTCTATATGGGAGCAGCAGCCCCAAGACATCAGAAAAGAGATGCAGATTTCCTGAAGCTAATGTTGGAGGCAGTCATTAGCAGCTAATGGGAGTATCTGGAAGCAACTTTGAGTAGCGTTTCCTAACTGTTAAACCATCTCTCTGTTACACTTAACTTATATTTTTAATATACTTAGATATAGTAGTTTTTACATTGATTTTTGAAGTGTGACATTGAAGAAATAGTCATCCAACGGATCTATCCTTCCAGACGGGTGAACATATGCCCAACCGGTGGCCAGATGGATGCCCCAGAAAGGGAGCTCAGCTTGCTCCCAAGCACCACTTTCCATCTACAGGGTCATAGGATCTCCCAACTCAGCCTGCTTCAAAACTGAGGATCTGGGAAGAAAGTGGTGAAGGCAACTGCTACAGGAGTTTCTTTGTCCCACTGAACCTGCACCCAGCAAGCATGCCCTTTTGCCTGCAAAGTCCCTAGCCAGCAAGTGGCCCAGATCCTGTACCAGAAGATATATCCTTTGGGAGGGCATTTGAAGGAAGAGATGGTCAGGCACCAATGCAAGAATTCCTCCAACAATCTGAAAAACAACATGATAACACCAGGATCCAGCGAACATACAACAGGAAGTCTTGAACACCCTAATCCAGAAAAATTAGAAAAAATAGACTTTAAAATAACATTATGAAAGTGATAGAGTCCCTTAAATAGGATGTGAAAAACTCCCTTAAAGAAATGGATGAGAAGAATAACAAAAAGTTTGAAAAAATGAATAAATCACTCAAAGATACCCTGTAAACCAAGAAAAAGAAATCAAACAGGTAATGGAAACAGTTTTACCTGAAAAACGAAATGGAGATAATGAAAAAAACAAAAACCGAGGGCTGGCTGGATATGGAAAATTTGGGTAAATGAACAGGGAAAACAGAGACAAGTATAACCAACAGAATACAAGAGATAGAAGAAAGAATCTCAGATGCTGAAGATACTATAGAGGAAATAAACTCATTGATCAAAGAAAACAGCAAATCCAAAAAAATTCTTAACACAAAACATCCAGGAAATCTGGGACATCATGAAAAGACCAAACATAAGAATAATAGAAGAAAAAGAAGAATTACAACTCAAAGGCCCAGAAAATATATCCAACAAAATTATAGAAGAAAAATTTCCCAACCTAAAGAATGATATTCCTATTAAGGATCAAGAAGCATACAGAACACTGAATAGACTGGATCAAAAACAAATCCCCTCACTATATAATAATCAAAACACAAAACATACAGAATAAAGAAAGAATATCAAGAGTGGCAAAGGAAAAAGGTCAAGTAACTTATAAAGGTAAACCCATCAGAATTACACCTGACTTCTCTATGGAAACCAGGAAAGCCAGAAGGTCCTGGATAGATGTGCTGGAGAAACTAAGAGACCATGCATGCAAGCCCAGACTACTATGCCCTGCCAAACTTTCATACACCATCAATGGAGCAAACAAAGTATTCCAGGATAAAAACAAATTTAAACAATACATAGCCATAAACCCAGCCTTACAGAAAGTAGTAGAAGGAAAATCACAACCCAAGAAACCCAACAACACCCCCAATAACTTAGACATCTAACAACCCTCCACCAGCACAACCCAAAGAAGGGAAACATGCAAACTCTACCACCAAAAAATAAGAATAAATAGCCGGAGTTAACAACCACTGATCATTAATATCACTTAATATCAATGGACTCAATTCACCTATAAAAAGGCACAGGTTAAGAGAATGGATGCGAAAGCAGGATCCAACATGCTTCTGCTTACAAGAAACATACCTCAACCACAAAGACAGACATTTACTCAGAGTAAAGGGTTGGGAAAAGGGTTTTCAATCAAACGTACCTAAGAAACAGGCAGGTGTGGCTATACTAATATCTAACAAAATTGACTTCAAACTATAATAAATCAGAAGGGTTGGAGAATGACACTTTATACACATAACAGGAACAATTCATCAGGATGAAGTCTCAATTCTTAATATATATGCCCTTAATAAAAAAAGCACCCACATATGTAAAAGAAACATTACTTGAACTCAACGCACACATCAAACCCCACACACTAATAGTAGGAGACTTCAAAACTCCTCTCTCACCAATGGACAGGTCAACCAGACAGAAATCTAACAGAGAAATAAGAGACCTAATGGAGGTAAAGAATCAAATGGACTTAACAGACATCTATAGAAAATTCCACCCAAATAGGAAAGAATATACCTTCTTCTCTGCAGCGCATGGAACCTTCTTGAAAATTGACCACATACTCAGTAACAAAGCAAACCTCCACAGATACAAAAAAATATTAGTAACCACCTGTGTCTTCTCAGATCATC